TATAAATTATATATAAATTATATATAAATTATAAAGAAAAAGTAATTTTTAATTACAAATAAAAGTTTTCAAATAATAGTTCTAACATTTGTATGAAATCAGATCATAGTGTCAAATATTTCACTGACTATAAAAATCAATAAAGGAATAAAGCATATAAAATCAGGACCCTGAAGAAATCTAAAATCTTAAAATCCGTAAAACTATGGAAATATGATTATGCTGGGACACTACAATTTTACGTTTTATATAAATTCTGTGAAAATGGAGGGGTGAAGAGATAGTATACTAGAAAAGATAAAAATATCAAAGCAGTTGAAAACAGAAGTCTAACACTGGCAGTAAACTCGATTGTATGCTACAGATGTTAGGCTAGCAGAATTTGTCAGCCTTTTGACAAAGGGTATTATTGCCAGGTTGACTAAAATTACATTCTGAGGCTATTTGTTTTAAAATCCACAACAACGTTAACTTTAAGGAATTAAACCAAAAGGTATTCATGTGACTTGTCTCTGGGGCGTGCCTCAGCAGCATAAGACAGGCTTGTGCAGAGATATTAGAGTGGTAAGTGCTCTTACTGGCTCAATTCCTGGAAGCAACATTAGTTACACTAATGAAGCAATCCACTTGAGAGAAATATCTTGTTACCTCTTCTTTTACAGTTAAATCGAATGCTCTTGAATTAAGGATTTTCTTTCTGCATTCATATAGCACATAGCAGAGCTTATCTCAGTAAACACCTATGGTTCTCATAAGGTTGCAGTAATAAAATAAACACCATCACTGACAAAGCAAAGTGGAGCCACATGACTTCTGTCATATGTAAAGAACCTAAGATGTACCTTGCAAGTGAACGGTTTTTCTTCTAAAATTAATGAGATTTTTTGGAGGAAAGGCTTCATGACTTTATTGGGAAATCAGAAGAATTAATAAGAAAGACATTTAATAGAATGGAAAGTGAAAACATAAAAGATAATACTTTACACAGTTTACTTAAGTAGGTGTACTGAACACAATTTTAAGACATGATCTAATTTAAAAAGGAAAAGCGGATTGTTCAGTATGTGGTGCTTACTTAGAAGATACTACTTTTATTTTATGTTATAGTAGAACGTATGCATCTTAAATGAAATTAGGTCCCTCTGATGCTACTAAATGCAAGAAGCCATCCTGACTGCATAAAGCCTACTGTCTAAATGAAAAAAAAAAGACAAAGAATGGGAAAAGGAACATAGCAGAGATCAGTGAAGCAGCTTACTAATATGCATGCAAAGGATCAAGATTAGAGCATTTCTAATAGGTCTTCTGACCATTTATTTTAACTCCCTGTTATCTAGTTAAATCTACCCATCCAGCTGTAAGCAATTCCCCTTGGATATCATCAGCTACCACTGTGGTTGATGGGCTTTTGATTTTGAAAGGCTTGTAAGTTCAAAGTGGAAGACATTAAAATCTTGAAACCTTGAAATATTTAAATGAGAGCAGTGATCCAAAAGGTGATTAAAGGTAGCTATTTTAGGAAAATAATTTATTAAAGCACTGAGTAGCTCACTAGATCTTTAATTCCTATTCATGTCAATGGAACCTCAAATGTGTACTTGATACAAGACGTATGTATCTAGTAGAGCATTTGTGTGTGTGATTTTACATTGTGAGCCCAATCAAGAGGTTCTTAAAAAGTCAAAACACAGACTTTGTGGACTTTTTTTTCCTAAGGTTCCTCTCTTTTTATGTGTAGCAAATTCTGTTCCCTGGCTTAAGATGTACTGGCATTACTGAAGATAAATCAAAACAGAACGTAAAAAGCGTAGATCCTGTCACAGTGAGGAAGCATAATGGAGAGACTAGTCAAGTTACTAGGGGCATGTCCAAACCCTGCCTCTGCATGAGCTAGCTTGAGTCCGGAAAGATTGTAACCACAGTTCTGGAGTACTCTGCGTAAACCAGTAAACTCTTGGGAGAGATCCTGAGCTGAATAAGCAAGTTCATACTGACTGTCAAGGTAACCTTTGGCCTAGGGGTTCAAGCTGTCTGTAATCCAAGCTTACTTTTGATGTAGTGCAGCTGTATGTCCTTGGCTCAAGTTTACTGAGAAAATCGCTAAGTTGTGAGAAAGAAGCTATGAGAAAGTACGTAGGCTAGAGTCTTGCAAGATAAGAAAAGGAAAAATGCAAACAGAGGTGAGATCGTTGTGATAGTAATTATTAGCAGCTCAAGGATACAGGAGCAAAAATACTGACATGAACAAATATAAAACCCTCAGGGTAAAACTGAGAATTGGAAGATGGCAACTCAGCAGAATCAGGGCTCAGCCCACTCCCATGAGCAACGGAGACCAACCCTTTCAGAGCTGGGTGATGACGGTGGCCCAGCCAGCAAAGACTCATAGGGTGTCTCAGGGCAAAGGTGACTGTGTTAATGCTTATCTTACTAACATTATTCCTAGCTGTCTATGATGTGCACTGCCAAAAAGAATTGTTTCATACTCTTTAAGTTGTGCAAATTTTGCTTACAGAATATTTTCTCTTTGTGCACAGGAAATATTGCCCCAATGAAGTGACCTGAAGAGGGAGTTGTTACACTGAGGCCCATTTTTATGTGAAAATCAGTGCTCTCTGTGGATTTGCTGCCTGAGGTTGACACTGCCATATGTTGCATATTGTGGGAATGCCCTAGTTGTTATACATCTCAGTAAAGTTGCTACCCTATACCATGATGAAGAACAGACAGTATGTATCTAAGGATAAGTACCATAATGCATTCTACTCTGGTTGGAACGTTACGTGAGGCATCAGTCTCTAACTCACATGAGATATTTTGACAAGCTTGAAAATTAAGCATTCTGGGATTTTTCTTTCTACAAAAACCTAAATTTTTAGTACATTAGAACGTATTTCGGTTATCTGCTGCAATATAATTCAAATATAGAGTTATTGCATATTTTCTATAGCTATATAATCCATATAACACAATACAGTAAACACAAGCTAGGAACTTAAAGTTCCTTGTTATCATTGAGGGTTTTTTTTTTTTTTTCCTTCAGACTTTCACTACGTACAGGACAATTGTGAAAAAAATTGATAGAAAAAATGCTTTATCATAGCCTACCATTACTTTGTGAAATAAAAAACTATCGTATGTATTTGCAATAGAAGAAATATTTTCTGCCTTTTAAATTTCTGAGTAATTACATCTGGTTTTGAAGTCACTGCCACACAGTGTCTGAAGTCTCCTACTACTTCATCCACTACATAATGCCTGTTGCCTTGCAAAGTCTTTTTGGTGTGATTCAATCTTGATCTATACCGATCACCTACAGGAAACATCAAAGAATTCCTACCCATACAGAGACTAACATCCTATTATATCACATGTAATCATCATGACTCCTTTTAGGTCACCATACATACATTTCCTACTTTTATGAGTTAAATTTGATTGATATTGCACAATAAGTGTGTTATTCCAGCTCTGTTATCCTCTCTGACATAAACCTTACTACAGATTACTAGGTTAATATTTTTAACATTTTGCAGCTGCATTCATTCATTCATTGTCATTCAAAAATGCCCTTCAGCATCCTGCAGCTATACTCCTTACCAGCTAAGCCTTCTCAAGACTCCACAAAATTTAATATTATGCGCAAGGCACTCCAATAACTGAATATACCAAAGATCAGATACCTTCACACTGATATCAGATTGCTAGCAAGTATCGTTTGTTAATTAGTTGTAAATTCTTAACTGTTCTATATGGAGTGCTTTTTAGTAAATAATAAAACATACCAAGGAAATAAA